AAACCCTCATGCTTTCTGCACCGGTTCAGTGAAAGGTTTACAGGTTTTGCATGGATTTTAAACCTTAAGAAACATCAGCTTCTCTTATGACATGCCCTGCACTCCCAGACCACTGCCCCCAGGTCCCAGGCCCCAGTATGTCAGGTACGGGATGTTGTGCGGGGCTGGGGGTAGGGGCCAAGCAGCCCCTTGCAGGCTGCAACTCTGCCAGTCTGCAAGAGAAAAGCCACAGTTTCCCATGTTTTTCTCCTTTAAAGGAGAATCCATTTTTAAAGTTGTTGATCCATTTTAAAAGTTTGTTCGTGACCCTTTCGTATATATTCTTGTAATCCTCACGTTGAGAAAGGCTGGCTTAAAGCACTCCTTATTCAGCACAAAGTTATGCCACTACAGGACAGGCTTACCTCTTGATCTGCACAACCCAGCTCCTGGTCAGTTAAGGTGTGGCCACTCTCCACAGATGTGCCACGCAAGTCGAAGCTGTGGCTGCTCCCAACTCCAAGCTAGCACTAAGCCAATCAACATTTCTGTGCCTCACAGCATAAGGCATAACAAGGCCCTAAAATGAGTGCCTACATGGCCTGTTGTACCAATTTAGTTAAGTGGTCGAAAAATAAAAAAATATGAAGTTAAATTAATGCAACTCAGTGAAAGTGCACTCTTCCCTGCCCTGCCCCCAAAACTAGGGGACTTTTAGCGATTTGTTGTTCTTGCCTTCACTTCACTTCCCTTAGAGTGACTTGCACCAAAGCAATTACAATAAGGAAAATATGAGAAGGATCTTCTCAAACCCACAAGGCTTCCAGGATGCTTGTAATTTCACCCAAATGTCCTAACCTTATTCCTCCTTGAATTCCCCCCTCACTTCATCATATTAAATATTGCAAAGTTAACATCTTGCATGTTTTCATCTTTGCTCCATTCACCCAATCTGATTTGTGCAGGAAGATGTTATATGTAGGAGATGCTACATATAATCAATAGTTGATTTGTACGTAAATGGTTTATAGATTTTCTCCTTCCCAAACCCCTTTACCTGTCTCTATGATCATAAAATCCTCAGAACTAGAAAGCTTACTTGGAAAGTACTTTGCACATAGTGGGCCGCACTGCAAATAAATATGAGATTAGCAATCCTATTCATAACTCACTCATAACGCTGGGATTTGAACTTTCCTGTCTTAAGAAGATGCAGATGATCGATATCTTCGTTAGAGCTCAAGCTCTAATTAGAGCTCAAGCTTGATAACCAATATAGTTTTTGAGAAGGAAATGTACTGGAAATTCACACATTTCCTTTAGAAATCCCTGAGGGTATAAACAAACAGTCCAAATTATTGTATCAGTATGAACTGATTCTGATACAAACTGTTATGATATGGCTGTTACATCCACAAGCCTAGCAAAACTGTGGCAATGCTAACCCCGTTTCTTATTCAGGTTTACAGTTAGAGTCACTGAGCTATCCTGTATTGCTTCAGGAGCATGGAGGTGAAACAGTGGCACCGTAACATTGGATGTGTGCTTCTTCCCTATTCAAACATTTTAAAAGTATGTTTGTCCAAAACCAGAGGTCTTAAACTCACTTGGCTACACTGTCCACAGAAAGGTAACTTTATGCAGAAAAACATGAAACCATTGGTTCTCTCTCTCTCTGTCTCTTAGAACGGGCTTACAAACCAATTTTGCTGCCGACACTAAGGAACTGGAAAAGGTTCTGGCTGATGTGACAATGAATTTCAGAAAACGTTTTTTAAATAAATTAGAAGTGAAAACACAGGTAAGCTGACCCTCAGCACCCAGGCACTAGCAGTGTTCGCTGGCTGTAGCTGAGCCTGGTAGATGTGGATTTATTCTCATTTCTACTGTGTGTACTTCATTTTGGAGAAGGCAATCTGTTGCTAATTTCAAAATGTGTTGTGCTTAATTTTGATTTAGAACTTTCTCAATTGCCCAATTTTCAAGGCTTTCGATTACAAACATCAATACCATTTATTTTCAAGCAACAATAGCAACAATGTGTATTGGGTGGCTTCAGGTATTCCAATTTCACCCCTGGCAAAGACCCAATAAAATCAGTGGGGTCACACCAGAGATGAATTTGGTTCTTTAACAAACAACCTGTTTCTCAGAGTTTGTTTAGCTGTATTTATTTGCGTGTCTGCCATCATGATGAATTACCAGCACCCACGTGAAAAACTTATCACAGAAGATTAAACTTAGAAAAAAGTTTATTCTGTGAAAGGCACTTTTTTCAAATGTGTTTTCAGGGGAAAACCTAGGGGGATATTTTATCAGGGAGGCAGCAAAGTCCTCCTATCTTGGGTTTGCCCAGTAGGTCTGCTGACAGCTTGAAATGACAAGTTGTTTATTTTGCTGAGTGGCTTTTCCACGTCCCTTAGATAGGAATTTCCTCAAAGGTGTAATGTGATAAATAGGCAAGTAAGAGTATAAGGAAAGATACCACAGATGGTTTAGGGATTGTATTTGGATGTGAAAAGTGTATGCAGTGATCAGAAGGAAAAGAACTTTGTGGGAAAAAATAAGGAGGAAGACTGGGATTTGATCACATTATTGAAATACTTTTAGTGTGTCAGAAAGGAGTTTCTCTCTTTAGTTACAGAGAATAAACTACAGGACACAAGGGCTGCCAAGATACAGCTTGGCAAGTGAAATAAAACCTTGAATAAAGCCTTTAGACAAAGCCCAGGTCCAACGCCCTCTAGAGCCAGTGAACTTGCCACTGATATCAGTAGGCTTTGAATGAGGCCCGTTATGGATGATCAGAAAAGAACAAAGTCAAGAGACTTAAGCAAGTTTTTAAACCATTTAAAAATTATATATGATGATGACATTTAAAAAAAGAGTTTTTGAGGCAGCACAATGCAGGGATAGCTACGTTCCAGATGGCTGGGAACACAGAGGGAGGACTTCACCCGGAGTTACTTGGGGGGACTCACAAGGAAAGAGCTAGGAAAAAACAGACTGGCAGGCAAGTTGGGGGTGGGTATAAAGACAATATTAAAGAGGAAGGAAATTTTGAACTTGACCCTCAAGAGAATCCCTACCGGGAGCCACAGGAGGTGTTTGGGTTAGGACGGTGCTCCTTGGTATAGCTGCGTGAATTCTGGAGAATTCTGGAGAACTTACGAGATGATGAGAAAAACCCCCTCAGTGGTTAAAGGGAGGACAGGAGGGCATGGGGGTGCATGTCAGGAGCATCCTATACCCTGGGCAGCTTAGCAACGGGGAGGAGGACCGGGCTGAATTTCTGGCTTAGCCCTTGGCATGAAGACAAGAAGGGAAGATCTGCAGGCAGATGTGCCGAGCCCAGATCAATGATAGAAGAGGATTCAAATGAAATCCCCAGGCAGCAGAGGTAGCCATCTCACAGGAGAGATTTGCCCTATCATATCTTGATTTCTTTCTGGATGACACCTGAGTACAGAGGCATGGGAAGTGAGTTTCTGGGCTAGCTTCCAGCATGTTTTGCTCTGCATAATGGATCACACCCTCAGATGGTGCAGATCAGTGAGGACAGTGCTGCCATGTCAGCTGAGAACCTGGTATATTATGTGAAGAAGCAGCAGGCATCGGTGGGCTCTTACAGGGCTCAGTCAGCTGCTCTTACATGCCACTTAGGCTTCCTGTGATTAACATTTTAATTTGCCTCTTCATCCTGAAGCTTTCACCAGCTGATGCAAAGGGTTTTCATTCATCTAAAAAATTACAGTTAGGGAATTAAAGAAACCACAATGCAGGGAAATCCACCATCCATCCTTAATACCTTAGCCAAGTGAAGCATATGCCAAAACCGAGGCTCTGCTCTCCTTGACATTAAACAGTGGCTTCTCACTGATCCCCCTAGAAATCTGTGCTGCTACAAAGTACATGTCTCTGAGCAGTACTTGTGTATAACTCATAACCCAGGTCTGCTTTTTTTTCATGCCCAAAGCCCTAGCTGACTTCTATGAGAGCTTTGGGTTCACTGAATTAAGGGCTGGGCTCAGAAAGCTACACACCCAGGGGATTCTTTTCTCAGGGGACTTAGGAACCTAAGGGCAAATTTAAAAAAAAGGTAACTCATGCTTACAGTCCTAAGTCTTGAACGTCTGTGGAGTCTAGGCTCTGAGGGCCAGGTGTTTAGAGGTATTATTTAGGCACTTAAAGAAACAGGGAGGTGCCTACTGGGTCTACTGGGTTTGGAAAATTACCTAGCCTGTTATGTGGAACAGCCGTTGGATAAAATTCATGCATTTGTTCATACATGCCCCTCTTCAGTAAGTGACTTACCACAAGGCCTGAGAGTCACACTCACTTTTACTTCATCGCTCCAGCCCAATGACTCTTGGATTCTTTCCCACACAGTAGCCTGGCTTCAACAGGAGAGACGGTGAGTGCCTCTCCCTTCAGCAGTGCCCTCACAAGGCACTTTCTAGTGAGGTGGGAGCTAATCCCTCCAGCAGCAGTGAATGGAGTCTGGGCTTTCAAACCCCAAGCGAATGTTCCTCACAACTGTGTAAAATGCTCCCGCTCTATGTAGGGCTTAATCTGTGGGCACGTCTACACATGCATTACTGTACCATAGCTACAGTGCGTTAAATTTAGTACCTGTAATACTAAATAATCAGTGCTGTTGGACAGTAGTGCCAGCACACATTTTTACATGATGCTAATGCACAGCACACTAATTCTACTGCGCATTAGCACAGCTTTCACCACGACATGCTAATGCTCAGTAGAATTAGTCTACTGTGCTTCTAGCATCTTGTGTAAACGTGCCCTGTTACATGTACTCTGAGATGCCAGTGGATCAGGAGAAAGAGGCAAAGGAATGCTTCAGTCATGGATTCAGGTGGGAATGCAACTGAGGAGCCTGTGGAGCGTAGACACCTCCAATGTTAGGCGACTGCTGACCAGTGACTTTCAGGATCACAGGTTTGGGCTGAGAGGCTCAATTCTGACTCCTAGTTTAAGTGCCTAAGTCTTTTGATGGATCTGGCCCCAAAGTCACTTGGAAGAATGTTAGCCTGTATGCTCATGTGTAGTCTGAAAAGTGCCCTGTACACCAAGCAGACACAGTAATTGTTATTAAGCAATATTATGACTAGGTTTTACTATTGTAATATTAGTGAATTGGTCTTTTCCAGCCACTATTTAAGAAAATTCTTACCAAAACCTGGGTATCAAGCAATGAAATTTTGAACTCAATACTGTCAACCGCTGTCCAGTTCTCGCAAGACTTAATCTATTTAAGGGAGCCTACCAAAAAGGTATGTATTCCTTCCCTATGCAGTTGCCCTGGAGTTACAGCAAAATGCCATGTACTCCCTTCCAGAATAAAGACTGACTTTGAAATGGGAACTCTCATTTGTGTGTGTTTGCGCGCGTGCATGCATGCACAAGAGAGAGAGAATGCAAAGATACATGTATATCTTTTTATGTCTGTACATAAAACTCAACATAAATAAGAATTGCTTATCTGAAAGTTTGCAAGGTCATTATCTTGCTTTGTTATGGAAATAAGTATCATATCCTTTCCTTTTTAAAATTTAAATAAGGGAATTGGTTTCATTAAAGAGGAGCCAAAAGCACTGGTTAATATTACTCTTTGAATGCAGTGATTACTTTAGCATGTTATACACTCCATATATATCTATACAATTGTGAAATTAGAGGGTAAGTAACAATAGCTCTAAATTTAAAATCTGCAGACATCATCCAAACCTATTATTAACCAGTCCCAAATGTCCACATTTGCTACTGAAGAGCCAAATTACCAACATATAATCACGGACCATTTTGGAGTAGAGACTGCTGGTAATTATACAGCTCTTCTTTGTTCCCTCTCTTAGCTTCTTGCCTCGATAGAAAGTGATGGAAGGGAACACAAGCCGTGTGTTTGTTTCAGAACCATCTGCGCACTGTGCTGAATGCTTTTCTTGAGTGCCACTCAGGATAGACTCCTAAGCCTGCAGTTTAGTATGCAATGATTAGCATACTCAGCTCATGAGTCTCACCTGCCTCTTTGGTTATTGCCAGGGAATTAATGAGCTCCCTACCCTCAGACTCTCTCACGCTCCATTTTTCTGCATTTTTTTTTTAAATCAGGATTTTCTGCGCGACATTCACAGGTGCTTGGTGAGAGAGTACATTGCACAGGCCATCAAACCAAGAAAAAAAATGAAACGCTCCCGGCGGGAGGACGTGAGCAAAAAAATGAAAGAAGAAGCCACAGTTATAACAGAGACACTCAGTGAGCTGGTAGGTAGATCCTCTCGTTGCCTCATTAAGCACTTTTCCTCCAGCTGGTGGTATCATGGTGCCTTGATATAAGACACTACAGAGCACAGGGGAAAGCTTTAGGGGTCTTGTTCATTGGGCCTATGTTTACAATAGGGAAAAATTCTTAAAATCCATCAGTACAGGCAGTCCTTGACTTACAGCGTTTCAAGTTACAACGTTTCACACATACAACGTTTATAAATTGACACCCTGTTTCAACTTTACAATGCCAGTTTCAACTTATAACGCTTGATCTGACGCAATGCCATGCCAGCGAACGAGTTCGCTGAATCGCTCATCTCCCTGGAGAACATCTGTCCAAACTTCCTTGGACACTTCGTTTAAGAAAGCAGACAAGACTCCAGAAAAACCTGCAGCCAAGACTCCTGAGAAGACTCCAGCCAAGAACCCTTCAAAAAGTCTAACCAAGAGCCTTTCAAAAAGTCTAGCAAAGTCACCTCAAAGAAGTCCTTGCAAATCAATGATTGCTATTTACAATATAAATATATTAATGTAGCTATATTACTCATCTATAATTGATTGAGTACAAAATTCTGGGGTATTTTTGGTGAAAATAGGGTATCAGGCCTTGTTCAGGAACCAATCCCCCTTTTATAACATTGTTTCTTATGAGAAAATTGGTTATGAGTTGCAACATTTCGACTTAAGATGCAGTTTTCAGGAATCAATTGTGTCGTAAGTCCGAGGACTGTCTGTATTGCAATCACTAGTTCAGCTCAGCCAGTAGCTCTAGTGGTCACTGGCTGCTGTTGCCAAGGCTCAGTAGCCAAGGCTCCGGTGGTCACTGGTTGCTGTTGTTTTTATTTCTGTTACTGGAGTGCTTAGGTTCTCCCATCATGGACTAATGACCCATTGTGCTAGGTGCTGTACAAACACAGAACTAAAATATTCCTTGTTCTAGAGAACTTGCAATGTAGGCACAAGACAAGAGATGATGGAGCGGCACAGAGAGACAGGAGAACACAAGGACATAATGGGACAGGACTGGTCAGCAGGACAGACTGTAGCCACAGCGCATCACCCTCCTAACCACTGTCAAGCTTTCTATTAGCCACGTGGCAAAGGAGAGTTTTAATGAGGGCTCTGAAGGAAGATGATGAAAGTAGCTTTGTGGAGACTTGCAGGGATTTCCTCCTACTTAGGAAGGGTGGCAATTTAAGTGCTCCTATCAGTGCTGCAGCTGATGGAGATAAAGCAGGGGTAGCAATGGTGAGACCCAGTAGAAAAAATACTCTGGTAGGAAGAAGGCCAGGGGAGTCAGAAACTGGGGCCTTGCTAGGTGACCCTTCAGTCTTGGGGAGGTGAGAAGGAATTG